TTAGATCAAAGTCAAAATCCCAATAGATGGAAATTGTTTTTGGAGTTACGGTGCTATTGTGAATGCTTGGTTTTTGTATTTAGTGGTGAAGCTTTCTTGCATTTAGCTACATTTGCTTGGGGGAAGACTCATATTAGGTCGTGCGGTTGCTTTTCACTTCCTCTACATTACAACGAATCATTTGGCTCTTCGTAGTTTGAAAAAACCCAATTGAAATCTGCTCACAGCGAGGTGTGCATAAAACGCCTCAAGGCACTGACTGTGAGGCAATTTTTGAAAGTGTATGCTTCAGTTTTGTGAGACACGGGCTTCACACCACAGCCTCAAGGCTTATGACTCACAAAACATAAAATTTCTTATTGACCCATTTTGATAATAGCTTGCTGCCCATTAAAATATTAAAAACTATGTTTCTCATAGACCACTTCGGGAATAGTCTATTCCTCCCACCAATTAAACTAATAATTTCTTTATTGATTTCTCTTTTATTTGTTTGCACACTTTAAATTGTTCTATTATGAATTTTGAAGAATTTTTTATTTTTTATTTTTTATGAGCTTATTTTGCATTTTAATATTTTTTTGACATTTTTTAGTTTATTGTCTCAAAACGCCTTGAGACTTGTGCTTTGCCTTATGACGGGAAAATGCCTTAGTATTTAGTTACGCCTTTTTAAACATTTGGCTCTTGATACCAATGTCTCTCTCTTTTATTCTTTTTTTTAACCACCATTATTTAATTTGGCACTGTGTTAGTTTTTTGTGCTTAAAATTACCTTGATTTTCATTATAAGTAGCCAAGCACATGAAAATACTTGCACGTTTACAATAATTCACCTTAAAAGACATCAGCTTTCGATGAATGTTAAATTTGAATCCTCGGATTACTTTAGTCCCTTCCATTTTGGAAGACTTATTAATGCATTTGTAAGTGACCTTTCCAGAAAAGTGTACGTTTAACTATTTTCCTTTGAAAAGATGGTTAGCAATTTTCTTTGGGAAAACGTTGCTTAGTTGGCTAGAAGATTACACCAGCGGTCATTTGCAACCTGCTATATCCTTCTGTGTACAATTTCATGCTGTTCATATTCATCTTACTCAATACTGAGCACACAATTTTTACTTTTTAATGATACTTTGAAATGATTATTGAATAAGAGTAACTTTGATATTGGAAGTTTGATTTCATGTGCCTAATAATTAACCTTGGTGCATGATATGTTTGAGGAGAAAAGGAGCATTTTGGAACCAGCAGGAGCTCTTGCCCTTGCTGGAGCTGAAGCATACTGCAAGTACTATGGACTCAATGGTGAAAATGTAATAGCCATAACCAGCGGAGCTAACATGAATTTTGATATATTGAGGTTGGTAACTGAACTTGCAGATGTTGGTAGACAGCGCGAAGCTGTACTTGCAACTTACATGCCAGAGGAACGTGGAAGCTATAAGAGATTCTGTGAGCTTGTTGGTCTTCTAAATCTCTGGCTATATTTCTCCCAACTTTCTAAGTGATAGCTTCCATATTAGATACTCACCGTTGTTTGGGTTGCAGGTGGGACCTATGAATATTACTGAATTCAAATACAGATAATTCTGATAAAGAGAAAGCTCTAGTACTGTACAGGTAAGAGCTCCTTGTGGGTGTGTTTGAGCCACGTAATTTTGGAAAAATGAATTTTAGAATAGTAGATTGATGGAGAACGTGTAATTGAAAAAGAAGGAAAAGTTATTGATGTGATGAAAAATATTATTTTATTAAAGAATGTGTGGTTGAAAATGAGTAGAAGAATGAAAATAAAAATTTTAATATGTACCAAACATGGGCTATATGTAGAAGTTGATCACTTCTCTCACTTAAGCCCTTTGACAACCATTATTTCAAAACTCTATATTCTACGTACTCATTTTCAATCACACATTCACACAATAAAATATTCCGCACGTAAATCTGGAATTTTTCATACTTTTTAATCATACATTTTCCAAAAAACATAGTTTTTGCCAAATAATGGCCATCAAACAGGGGCTAAATGAGGTATCACAGAACGTGCCCCTTCTGCCCCATATGGACTCTGCGGTACCGTTTCCCAATGGAGTGGAAGTTATTCATTTCTAGAGAATACAAAGCAATGAAAGCATGCACTAAAGGTCATGTCCACAAATTCAAAATTAAAATTAAGCATGTATGTAATGTTTAGGAAACCTTTTTCTGGTTGTATTCATTATTTTTTATATGCTTCTGGAAAAGTTGACCTAATATGGTGAAGAATCATCACCAACTTTCTAGAGAATTCCATAGCAGCCAACGTACTAGAAGAATCAAGTGAAGAATCCTCACCAACTTTCTAGATAATTCCATAGCAGCCAACATACTAGAAGAATCAAGGAGGAGCAGGAGCCAACTTCATTCTAGAGCTTTCCAGCTTCCACCTCCATTGAAGAATTATCTAGAATTATGGAGATGAGGAGACCACCTACTATGCTACCTATATATATGTATG